CAGTGGCGCGTTGGGAATTTTTTCAAAATCTATCCGTCACTTTAATACCGTTTAATGGCTATTATTAAGATGCTAAATGGTGTTCATCGAAAAGAGACTTCATAAATTGAACCATGGCAAGCATTAGAAATTGTATTCTAAGAAGTAGAAGCTTAGTGTTAGTTGGGTATATATATATATATATATACATGTATACTATGTGGTCTGAAGTTATCGGTGAGTGCGTACGACGACAATGAACGGCCGAGAATCGTGATGTCAATCACAATGACGGCGAGCGTGGTGTCGTCGTTGCTGGAAGTTCCCTCGGCCGTTCAGTAGTCCCTGTCATTGTAAAACGAGCGGCACGCGACATGCGTCACACCGGGCGTACACAAATTGCGAGCAGCTGCTTAAAGAAGGAAGGAGCTTCTCTCATAAATCTAGTTGAACGGATACAATGTGTATTGCTTGCACGAAGCTTATAAGGGAGGCAGTCCTCGTGAACTGGGACTACGTAGGAGAATCTTCGTATGCAGCGAATTCACCACATGGTAAATAAAATAAAAAGTTCCTATACCGGCATAATCTAGTAGCCTGTTAGATAAGCAGGTATCCTTCCCCCCCGATCTATCTGCGCACTTGGTGAACAGGCAGAACTTTCGTATCCATGGTAATTCGGTGAGAGGATACTGAGAATGAGAAATGCCGGGTATACCCATTTACTTGTATATGCATATATATAGATATACATGCATGAAGAGCTGTGCGAAATCCTCTTGGCTTCTTAGCTATTGTATTTTAATCGATCCATTTCACAAGAACGTCCGACTATGACTGCCTGACTATAATGTAACCGCGTCGTGCTGTGGCGCGGCATCTACTTGATAAGCCGTACGTGCGGACATTAGGCTCGATAAATTTATCGGTCTTCATCCTCATCCACGGTGTACGCCCTGGCGCACAGATCGACGCAGGCGAACGGACGTCTCTTAGCGGCATTCAGCAGGTACGTGTTTACATGGAAATGGAGTATCAATGGAGTCTCGTTTGCTCTCTTTTAGTCCTGGGATCGTTGTTTACACGTCTCTGGAGGTAATATCCGTGTGTCCTTGTTTCCGGCTGGAAAACGAGACGAACGCTTTAATGAGATGGGAGGTGAATGAGATACCGAGAAATATGTATATAAAAATAGGCAAATCAAGAGGAAATCTTCGGTACGTACGTCCAGGCGCAAAGGGATACCTGCCGTGTAGGAAGTCAAGACTACCTGTAGTAGGTGGGAGAGCGTCTGACGTATCCGACTCCGTCGGGATTAATATTTCTATTGAGTATTGTTCCTTGCCACATAAATCTTGATGGACCTTCGAGTTAAGGTACCCAGTGAGGCGGGTCCCGGGGATCTTACGTATGTACGATCATCCGAGCCCCGGGGAATGGGAGTGCAATTGCCCCCATACACCATACTCCACATGCCCCTGCATCCCCACGGTCCGTACCAGCTGTGGCACACTTCCCCAATTCTTACATTGTTCTTCCGCCTTCGCGATCTGATATAACTCCCGGTGCCCGATCGGTAGAGCCTCTTGGCCTCCTATCCGGACGGTAATTGCTACATCCTCGATGGAGTCCCCTCATCATTTCTTAGCGGTGGTTATTGCTCCGCAGGATTTCCGGGACGTCGTACCAACTTCGAGAAAAGTAGTATCCCTATTTCCCGTCGCCACACGTGTACCAATCATGTGTATAAAAATTGCGTCAGTTATTATCTCAATGACATACATATATATATATATAGAGCGAAAAGCAACCTCAAAAATTGGATGAAATCCTTGACACGTGGTACGATACTCAACACGTGTCCATGTACAGTCTGGTCGGAATATTTTTCTACGATATGAAACGCGTAATTACGCTGGTATCCACAATTGACGAATTATTCATTCGCCCCACGTGTAACCTTCCTCGCCAAGACGGCGAAGCGTTATCACTAGGCAACAGCAACGACAAAGTAGATACGCGGATATCGTTACGTGTACTGTCTCCGGAGAAGACACGGTTGGTAAGCACCGCCACAATGGGCAAGGATCGAGTGATCGTTTTGTCTCGCGCCAAGGCGTCCAGGAATAAAGGCCGTACGCGTCTAGCTGCAACTATTTATAGTCCGGGAGGTATAGCCGCCCTCGAGGATCTCCAGTCTTAGGACGAATTTCCAATGCTCCCTATGATCTTCCCTCCTTCTCGCGAGCTCCTCTCCTCGACTGGTTTCCTCGTCCGTCTCTTTTATTTCTCTTTGTCGACCTCCCCGCGGCTATTACAAGGACAAACGACCACGGTCACCTGACATTCTTCGGGCTAAACTTGGTAGGAACTGTATTACGGTAATAAGGGCTTCCCGTGGCGATGCCTCGTGCAGTGGAAACAGTCGGCAAGTAACTGCTCAAGATAGCCTCGTCGCTTAGGTATACGTACTGGCAGAGCCGTATGTGCATATACCAAGGCAGTTACAAAGTATACAGAAGTTGCATAAGCGTATATCGCCAGTAAAGAAGCATCGCGAGCATCTACAATGGACAGCATGACGTGGGTCTTTCTTGGCCAGATGTCCGATAGAGGACTCCTTCCTCTGTTTCTTCCTCATTCGCCCTTTTCTTTCCTTTGTGCTCTTCCTATGCTTCCTTCTTTTTCCCCCCTTCTGTACAGCACTCTTCCTCCTTTTTTGTCTCTTCTCACCCATGCGATCTCCATCACCGGAAGCGCAAATATTATCCGACCGGTTCTACCGGTATACACATAAATTGCACCTATAGCTTGTATAGAGATAGATATACCGGAACGTATAAAATTGTTCAATCGGTCTGCGCTACGTTCACGTGGCGAGCCGAGCGGAACGGGAGGATCGTTATCATTTGATTCTTGGGGGCAACCGCTTGTTTGACAGAGCATCGGTTATCTGCAAATCGCGTGGGTGGAAAACGCCACGTTTCCTCGCCCACTTGGCTTCCATGTTCCCGGTAACAATGAAACGGCCCTCCCGTATCCGACTATCGAAATCTTCTAAGAACGCTTTCGATTTCGGATAGTTTAGTTCCTGTGGATCGTACGTAGACGGTATACTATGTCCGGAGCTGTTGTCGAACTTTTTACTAGTTGTACTTGATTTCCATAGTGAGGCAGGATACTAACGGTCGGATGTTTTTTTTTATGGCTATCGTAACGGTAGGCGATCATTTTTTTTTTTTTGGAAAAAATTTTTATTATTAGTGCATTTTGGAGTATACCTAGGTACTACCTATTTAAACTCAACTTGCCTTTTAAGGATTTCTGGACTTTATTCGAGTTCATGTAAGATGCCATTGCCTATGGTATTACGTTGCATAAGTAATAATTTCCCAATGGTTCTCGCTTAGTGCGCTGTTTCGGGTTGTTATGGGCTAATACGGGAACAACGGTATATTCGTGGATCGCTTTTGTATCGGTATTATTTCACAAGGCTTTGTGTATCTCTAGGTATGGAGGGGCCGTTGCGCAACACGACGGCTTCGCGTCACAATATTGCAAGTGATTCGGTTAGTAGTTACACACGGATTCCATTCTAGTATATCTCATCCAATTGTCTTGATACAATCGATCAATAAATATTTATGAGCTATTAAAACCGAGTTACCACATGCATCGTGTACCTTGTTACGACGTACCGCCATGATAACGTCACTATCGCAGGGGGTTTCGCACGAAGATTCTTTTCATGCCTCGTATTCATCTCGCTGGACGTTTATATTTAAAAATGGAAAGATACTACGAATAAAGTGTGTGGACAAATTTTTTTTTCACCAATTTCAACAATTTCGCTTAGGTTACAACTTTTTAGCTTTTCATCCAAGCTATACGTTCGTATAGCGATATAGTATAGTACAAAGATTTTTCACTTCTATTCAATTTTGACGACCTAATTTCGTTTTGAAAATACTCGAACTGTTTTGCATTCCAGAGGCTTTTGACTTCAGATTATTTTAGGTATGCGCGTTCGAATAGCTCTTTTCCGTGGTAAAAAGTGGTAACGCGTTTCTAAATTTGTGTATTACTTATCAATCTTTTTTTAATGCAATATACATATACGATGTATCTTTTTTTAAATTCATTATCGTCTAATTTCATATTATTCGAAAGGCCATCGATCAGTGTTAACATCAGCCCACGTCATTGATACACGAAAGTTTCTCAAAATTATCTGGAGCAGATACGTGTACATCAGGTATACATATCTGATCAGCCATTATTCATTTTTCATTACCACTTGCACAGGTCGTCGAACCTATCGAAACTATTTGCTTTTCAGCATGATTGTGCATTCATAATGATACAGAGTGATTATCGCCAGGTAGCCAAACGTCAATGATCGACAATATCAAGGCAGCTCGCTATTGTACAGTTTCTCTTCTGAACGAAAGTAAAAGAAAAAAAAGCAGAAAATTACTATTCGCTAGTTGTAAAAAAAGAATCTAATATCCATTGTGCCTCTGCAGTATATACCTACTGCTGTCCAATTAGTTAGAACAAGTTCTGTTGGCTTTGCAGAAAAAAAAATGAGAAAAAAAAATCTCCCGGAGGCTGCAACGAATGAAGTCAAAAGAAAAAGGGGTATTGAAAAAATAAGGTACGAAAAAGAAAACAAAGGAAACAATCCGCGGTATCTGCTCTAGCCGAGTTTCCGGTTTATTCCGAAACACGTAATCTACGTTCTGCCCTGTCTCAACGATCAACAAAGATCTAAGTTAGGATCTGGGTGGCGCGTTCTTCAGATGAGTAGCTAAGAGCCCGTCTTGGGACTCGTGCGAAAATAAATGAAGCGAAAAAAAATTTTGCGAACGGCAATATATCCAAGTAGCAGCACGAAAATGATTCTGCGATCATGTATATGCAAAATAAGCGCGAACAAAGTTTGACCAGTTTTCCCGCTGAGCCACTAAGGCTTTTCCGCACGGAGTTGCTTCGTTCTGAAAGTGAATTTGACCTTGCAGGAAAACGGCTGTCTGTACTCTCACATAAGATGGGGCGAGGCCTTCGTCGTGGTGTACAGCGTGACGTGCAAGCGCAGCTTCCAGGAGGCGAGGGGTCTCCTAAAGCAGCTTGCAGACTTGCGTCTCCCGTCCTACTTCACAGCCCTGCTGCTCGGGAACAAGAGAGATCTCGATCACGCTCGGTAAGTAGTATCGTTGCAACTAGTAGCTTGTAAACTTCGTTCGATCGATTCAAATAAGATCCGCCGATCGATCTTGCTCGGATGATCGGACAATTCTACGGAAGACTCGTCTCCTGCCAGCGAAAGAAAACGTGGTTACGCCATTACTACTTGAACCCTGCAACCCGATCTACTTACTACCAATGTCTACCTACATCTACGTACGAACTATCCATTAATCGAGATCCAAGAGGCTGCACGTACGTACCCCTGTAGACTGAATGGCGAGATCTTCCCCACGTGTATTCCAATGGATGCGAGAGGACAAGAGACAAAGTCTAATTGTAAGAGGAGCAAATCGTGCCAATCGGCTTATGGAAAGCCCACGATCTGTCCTCGACGAAACTCGGAATCGGTTCACTTTCCACCTTGCGCACATTGTAATAGGATCCGCGATCGTGTTTCCTAGAGATTTTAAAGCGTTCGCTCGTGCTCGCGTGACCATCCTCTCTTCGATCTCGTAGACGGTCGACGTCTCGTTCGAGAATCCTCCTTCTATACTCGGGATCGTTATAGTTGTCGTCGTTGAAATCGGAGACGAAGGCGCCACGACGTTCGCCGTACTGGGTTCTCTCTCTCTCTCTCTCTCTCTCTCTCTCTCTCTCTCTTCCTGGAAAACAGATAGAAAAGACACGCGATAGAGGCTCGACGTTGACACACACCCGGCAGTGGTCAATCGGACTTCTCTCACCTAGAAATCGTTCACGCGATCTTTTCTCTCTTCGAATACTTATTATTACTTATTACAGTGACCGGCTGGTGCGATCGATCGGCTCGATATACCATCCCTCGCGTCGGGACGCAAAAGATCGGTATCCACTTGCGAGATTAAGACTGGAGTGAAATACGTGACGTTCGTACGGGCTCGACAATGAGAAATTCCGACGGATATGGCACGGCGTGTGTGTTACCGATTTCGTCCTGTCATCTTTCTATTATTTAGTTTCTCGAAAGATCATTCTTAAACTTTTTTCTTCTTCCGTACGGATCGCGTACATGGAGATAAACACGTGAACGACACTCGGATTTTTCACGACCTTCCACGCGGAATGCGGGTTACGCGGGGGTGATTAACGGTATTAATTAAAATCGGTGCCAATGCCTTTTTTGTTTCAATTAACCGGGCACTCTACGAGCTCACCGATTGCCTACACACTGCTTCTATCCATATGCCTAGACTATAGCCAGTAGGCAGTCACTACTTTTTTTATACATACAATATTTTTTCCCTGAACTTACTTCGCTTTATACTTTTATTTTGTATTTTATTTTCTGCACTGCGTGTCACGGATTGTACCGTATGCTCGCAGAAGGTAAATCTTGTAAGCTTTCTGTACCTTAATATACAGGTACTACAGGCACTGTATATACTAGCTCGTGGCTACTATGACAGTCGGGAACACGATTAAGGCAGCAAATGGGAAGCCTCGTTAATCAGCAAGGGCTATCTATCTCGACGATAAAGCGGTTTGTTCTATGGTTAATATCATTGATAAGAAAGAACTACGATGATAGCGCCGATAGGCATGTTAAGTGACGGCGAACAGCACGCGCTCCCTGTCCCGCCATGTTAACTTAACGCGACGACTGTACCTTCGGAGCTTTCTCCTCTCTTCGCGTCTCGCGCACAAGACTCGAGCACGGCCCATTAAGTTCATACGCGTGAAAAGGGAATCAATATGCAATCAACGTACAATGAGGGTCCTAAACCATTTCCAAGATTTTCGTTTTATGGCTGATCGAATACGAACTAGCCACAGGTGTGCTGTAGCCATTTACATATAGATATAGGATTTGCAATGTTGGAGAAAAAAAAAAACAGTAAAAATAACGAAAACGATCTGGTCGCTGCACTATGGCGCAGTAACGGGGAAAATATCGAATTTCTTGTTTTCCCCGAGATTTTCCGAGAGGTCGCAGGAGACGCGGCTGCGCCGACGGTTGTCCTCGCAGCTTGCAACCTGTTTCTTCGGGCGAGTGTAAAGAAAAAAAAGTCTGTATGATTTCGCGAGACGCGTGGAGGGCTGTTGACCGCGTTGAAGTTTCAAGATCGCTGCCAATGATAAGTTTATTAATATGCGATTTACGGCGGGTAGTGGGATACTGCCGGCACGTAACTCGTTTCGCGGCCTGAGAGGGAGTGGGTTTCGCGTAAAGGTCTCTCTCTGTCTCTCTAATCTACACGAATCGTATTAAGACGACGAGGACGGAGCTACCAGGGTAAATACAGAGATCGCATACCTTGGCTTTTGTACGCGGAGAACCTGAACAATAATAATACAAAGTTCCCTGTGACACTCCTGTTATTCGTGCTCGGGAGGAATTCGTTGGGGGGTAAGATGATAAAAAGGATATAAAAATAGTAATATATATGACATCCGGTAAAGATAATAAAGTTCAGTATAATCTCTTTGTCGTGAGACTGATTTTATCGGAGGCAAAACGATATCGTTCGTATCAATGGACTTCCATATGGGTCTCGAAGGGTTGGGCTGAGCTCGATTGAAGCTTCGTAGAGTTAGTGTCGCTTTGGAGCTGGTTACGTCTGTGTGATTTCCGGGATCCATTTCCCCGATTATCCTGGTCAGCGCTCGTGAAAGAGACACTATAAGCTGGACCGTGAGAGTGCAAGGATCGTATTATACATAATATGGGTACACGCGTGGAGGAGCTCGGAGCGCAGAGCACCGTTGGTGCCAATGGCACTCGTAAAGCAAAGGATAGCCCGTATAAAATAAGGGAACGGATTAACGGCGTGTGTCCACTGCTAGCACGTGTGCAGCCCCATGTAATCCGTGGCTTATGTGCTTTATCGGTGTATAGTTACACATACTTTCTATATCTGTATGTATACCGCCCACGCGATAGCTCAATGCCTCGAATATCACATGTTCAGCGAATTTAATTGCGACCATAAATATCAGCGGTACTAGTCACCAAGAGGGTTGGGATCTTCTCGTCCCGCCAGAGTCTAAAATACGAGGTCTCAAGAGGTGCCGCGGTCCGAGCTGGTTTCTTCCCTTGGGGAAGAATAAAAAAAAAATGATCGAGCTGATCTCGCCGACTTTGTCACCCTTTGTACGCGATTTTGGGTACAAAGAAACTGTTTGTAAATTATAATCGCGACGGATGTACACACTTTTTTTTTGTATTCTTGAGATCCTTCAGGGAGAAATTTCGAGGTCTGAACGATTGAGCTTCGTCCTACCTTGGTCTGCCAAGACTCGACGTTCAAGCTTTGGTCCTTGCTTGGTTCAAGCTGTTTGGATGTTCCAGCTGCAGACCCAAATCCTGGCTAAGCCACGGCTAAGTTTAAATTTCCCAGCTTGTTTCAAATTAATTAATATTTTCGTCTATTTCATTTTTTTTATAATTTACAATACATTTTTTTAAATTAGTTATCGGTAATCATTAATAATTGAAATTTTAGTGACTAACCTTGGTAATTTGCTTACCAAGAATCAGGCTTGGGTCGAGATTTTATAAGCTAACTTACAAGGGGAGCACGCGAGCTTGGGGTCATGGATTTAGGAATCCTTTTGGGGTAGGAAAGTACTTTGTAATAACAAACTGCAGGCCAAGTGGCAGGACGAAACTCGGACCCGTTTTTGAGAAAAACCGGTTTGAAAAACGCAGTATTAGTAATATACCTGCACCGTTGCCAATGTTTTCGAGAAGGCGGCGTAGCTCGGTGGCAGCGCGCCTGACTACCACCCGAGCGGCCAGGGTTCGATTCTCCCACCACACGTATTTCTCTTTTTAATAATTCTTTTTTTTGCTACCCGACAAGCCATGTTTATCTATTAACAATTTTGTCAATTTACGTACGAAATGAGTGCATTGGAACACTATTGTTTTTTATTATCAGCAACTGGTTTATATACGCATCGTATTTTTGTTTCGAAAATAGTTGTACACTCATTGTCAACTAATTGAAGAAAGACCTATGTTCTAAAATGTGAACGAAATTAACTTTCCTCTGTCACTATCAAAAGAACATTGCCATTGCAACGAACAAGAAGTTGCATTCATAAAATGTGCATGGTGTGAACATAATTTATGTTTTGCATGCTTTTATGATACATACCATCCAAATAAATGTAAAGGCTATACAGAAGCCAGTAGTGATAGCGAATAATAAAAAACATATGTACACCTAACAATACGCTTTGAATCTTTATAACCTTTTCCAATAAACCAGTGTCTGATAATGAAAAATAATAGTGTTCCAATGTACTCATTTTGCACGTAAATTGACAAAATTGTTAATAGATAAACATGGCTTGTCGGGTAGCAAAAAAAAGAATTATTAAAAAGAGAAATACGTGTGGTGGGAGAATCGAACCCTGGCCGCTCGGGTGGTAGTCAGGCGCGCTGCCACCGAGCTACGCCGCCTTCTCGAAAACATTGGCAACGGTGCAGGTATATGAGCAGTACTGCGTTTTTCAAACCGGTTTTTCTCGAAAACGGGTCCGAGTTGCGTCCTGCCACTTGGCCTGTAGTTTGTTATTACAAAGTACTTTCCTACCTCAAAAAGACTCCTAAATCCGTGACCCCAAGCTCGCGTCCTCCCCTTGTAAGACGAAACTATCTCGAAAATAATTATACAATTAGAAAGTACTTTCCTACCCCAAAAGGACTCCTAAATCCGTCACCCCAAGCTCGCGTCCTCCCCTTGTTAGTCCAGGACCTCGGGGCTAAGCAAGGTTTAATCAGCCCTAAATACCAAGGTTCATCCAAGCTTTAACATTATACATCTAGCATAAATCTGATTCGAGCGTCAGATTGGTTAATTTCCACCTAGACCAGATCGATCCCCATGAGATCTCATGTCTTTAAGCTGTTATTACCAAGCACAAACGTTTTATTATCACTTTGTTTCAGAGAGGTCTGCGTGGACGAGGGTCAACAGTTATCCTTGGCTCACGGCTGCCAATTCTACGAGGTGAGTGCGGCGGAGAGTCCTGCTGGAGCGGCTCTGGCCTTCCAGGCTCTCCTACGGGAAGCCAGGTCGGTCCAACTGCTACGTGCGCTGCCCATAAGACGAAAACTCGGGGTCCACTCGGTGTCACGAGTACTGGGCACGATCTTCGGGAAGAACACTACCAAGGACAGAAAGAAGAGGCCATCCCTGAGTATATGACGTCTCCTGTGCGCGCTCCTACTCGGAGGACGTGATGACCCCGGGAACAGGACGAAAGTCATCGTGCTGCGTAGCAGCGTGCACGCGAATCGTTGATAATTATTTATAAAATCCAATACTCCTTGGATGACCCTGAAGGAATTCAGTTGTAGGTGATCCATCACCCGATCGGAGGTGTGGATGTTGCCTTGAGAGGAGTTCTCATCCGTGAAGAGAGTGCCACGTGTTCGAGTGACGCGGATTCGATGACAGAAAGCTACAGAGTGAGGAAGTGAGAGGAAAAGTAGAAGAGATAAGAGAGAAGCGCACGAGAGAGATTTAAAGGCTTCTGAGTAGTCAGCTGCGACGTTTTTAGCGCAACGCTCAAAGTGCACTTGGCCGTCGACATTCCACGTTTCCACAACCGGTAAACGATTTGGCGCCGGTAGTGCGTGCGTACGCAATGTATATATGCACACCGGTGCATCTCGTATGATATGCTCCTATTGCAATTCTTGGGATCTTAATCGGAGACAGAGAGAAAAAGCGCTGGGAGCGTGTATTCGGTCGGATGGTACTAATCCGCTCGAGTCAGCTATTCCGAGCGTCTTATTTCTTGTGAAGAATCGTAAATACCTTGTACCGTGACTATAGCAACGGGAAGGCCAAGAATTATTCCATTTTGGTACATAACCGAAATAGGTACGGTCTTATGCATGTATAACTGTGATTATAGGGTTGCAAGCTCAGCCTCTCAGATGTGGCTCAGAGGGCTAAGAACACGTTGGACATACTGTATCCACTTCTGAACGCTTAGCAAATTGTACACTTCCGTTCCTACTCTTTTCTCTTTTATTTCATGCCTTTCGAATCGCTCCTTCTCTCTTTCTCCTTTGCTCGTCTTTTGCGCTCTACGATCCTCCGCCGTGGAGGCTACCGAGTGCTGCTCTCCTAAGTGCCTTATCGAAGCGACTGATGATAACGTATAATTGCCTACTACGATATAATAAATAAACGCCTTACGAGTGGCTCCGTATTCTGCGCGGGGATAAAGGATTCCTCTTGGTTTCTATGCAGGATCAAATATACTGAGAGATCAGCGTAGATACGAAGATACACAGAGATTTTGAGATGCCCGGTGAGAGGAGTACGAAGAAAAAAATATATAGGAAGAGCGATTGGCAGCATTGGCAGCAGGAAGAGCATTTTGTCCCCGTGCAGAAATTTCGTAAATTTTTTAATGTTCCTACCAGAAAACATTAGCGTCGATGTAAAAATTATATAATATATACTATATATATACTTAGTATACGAAGAATTGTGTAGATATAAGGACTAGTTAAAATGCATCGAAGGAGATTGGTAATAAAGAGAAAAAAAAAGATGGCGGACCAATCGAGGAGTATTGCGAGTCCCTTTCGAGACCGAAAAAATTCTCCTCTTAATTGTTTGTACGTAAAGATAATTGATTTGCACGATTATCTTCCTTTCTCGAAAAAAATGCTCATCGATTCTCAATCGACGCGTGCCAAGTATTCGCAACTCTCGACGTTGTATCTTGTAAATGTTTTTCTTTTATACGTGTAGATATTTACAATCGAAGTACTGTCAAGTATTAGCCATGTGCGTACCGATACAGCTATACGTCAGCGAGCGTACGTATAGTTGGACCGCATCATCAGTTTCGTTTTGAGGGGCCAACTTCTTACGAATCTAAACGTAAGTTAGTCCCCTTCAAAGTTGATCCGATGTCGCGGCTCGAGTACAGAAGTGCAGACGTAGAACGAATGTACATTGAGAAGTTACGGCGAGCAGTACGGATAGCACGGACAAAATATATGTATGTACATTTTCATACGTGGTTATTCAGGTATAGCTGTATTTCTACGCAAAGGGCGAATAGGCACTCATGCAGTCCACAATATCCAGAGAATGTCCATTTAACGTCCTCTGTTCGAAATATCTGCAGAATCTACGTTAGGACATCCACGTGGGTATGTCTGCCCTGCATGAGGGTACCATAGCTGTATATTATTTGTGCCTTCCAGAACTACTACTAGGTATTATTACTCGTAGAGATTTTGTCTGTGAGCAATGATAAGAAGCTTTGATTTAAAAGCTTAATGTATGTATGTACTATTCGATAGTCTTATACATTCCAAATGTATGAAAATTGACCTTATCCACAAGATACCGCCCATGCTTAGGGAACGACGGTCTAATTGTATTCTAAGTGCTAGTCACTTGTTATCGTAAATTGAGAATAAAATTCTTTTGTTAAAATTAACGTTTTATATTATATCCGTCATACAACACACACCGCATGTACATGCAGGTACAGTATAAGCAGGCATTGATGCCAGGCAATCGTACAAGGACGTTCGATTAGATGGAATCATCCGTGACAGGACGTCCCGCCCAACCGTCAACTGCCAACGACCTCCAAAACTTCACGGCGAATCCCTGTAATGGTCATACCTGTAAATTAAGTGCGATTCGGGCCAAGGTTTCGTGTGTCATGCAATTGCGTGTTCGGGCGACGCTACAGAAATACATGTTGGATGCAAGTCCCACCGAGATAGGGGGCGACACGTTCGTCTCGCATGCATGCATCCTGTGATTAACGTGCATTAGCGTGTGGACCAGGCACGAAAATAGCCGGATCATCGGCACGTATTGGGAATACCTAATAAATTTCTTTTCGTGGCTACCTGCTCCATTTATGCCTGAGCTGGAGAAATAAAAATACGTGGTATAAGCTGCCTTTATTGTGTACGAATGGAATTATTTTTTAAGAAAAAAAAGATCCTCAAAGATTGTATCAAGTGAATTGGATTCGCCACCCACCTCTATGCTCACGTTGGGTCGTTTGGGAATCTTAAGAATTTCTTGAAGGAACGATACCAGCTATGGTGGGATATATTGAATGCGACAGGTACAAGGGCTGAAAACGTTGTCGATTCTATGGGGTTTCCAGTTACTTCGCGCACGAATCTTCATGGTCGACCTCTGAACGTGTGTTGTGGGTTCGTGTTTAAGTCGCTAGAGAATTCCTCGTAGCCCAGGTCGAGGTCTCGTATTACCTTAGCTGTCCTTAGTATCATCCCTTGTCGTTCTCTTAGTTCTACCGAGCAGAGTTCCCCGAAGATAAATTCTCAGCTTCTTCCGATAAAAGTATGCAGTTACGTATTTATCATAGGACCGTTCCAGTGGGTCAGCCTACTGCGAAACCTTCTAGAAGCTTCTAGACATATCTGGACGCTGTACCGAATCGAATGCTCGAATTCGCAAGTTCAAATAGCTCATTCGATCCAACTTCTCGATATACAGAGAGGTCCTGCTTCCAAAGATTATACTTATAATTCTACAGCCAACGTCGAAGGGATACATCTTGCTGTGTGGGAAACTAAAAAAGAAACAGAGAGAAAGCACGCAAGCAGTGGCAGAGAAGATACTGGCAACGGTAAACTTGGCGAAAGCTGTTGAGTTTCCAAAGAGAAGTATCCATTCCACGAACTAACCTAGAAGGAGCAAAGATATAAGAGCAAAGTGTAACCCTGCGCTACGGTATGATTATTGGTAGACGTAGAGCAGATAGTTTGAGGTTACGTTACCTGGTAAAAAGTAACTTTGCGTATAACGCGTCGTGACACACAGCGTCTCTTACCTCAAGCATACGAATGTATGTAAGTAGCGTGAAAAAATGTGTAATAAGCGTGCGCCATTGAGCGTAATAAAATTGAAATGAACAACGGTATTCCTAGTACTTAGAGCATCGGAGTCGTGACGCCAAGGTCGTAGGTCGGTGCGCTGCACCTTGCACCTCCACCTTCACGGCAGGAACCAGCGTGTCTGGCCTCAGGCGAGAGTTTGAAATTTAATACATGCGCATAACTCTGAGTGCATACAACGTAGCTGCTGCGGACCTGGTCTGGCCCGTGTGCCGTCTATCCACTGTCCTGCCCTTTTGGGGCTACCTCAAGCGAGACTCGAACAGTCTATCGATAGGAGCAGAATGCCTCCCCCATAAACTTCCCTAACCGTACCCATCTCTAGACAGTTCGCTATATACCGCATAACGTAGGCAGGAGGGTCCATTAGGTGTAAATCACTCGAATGTGCCTGGCCGTAAATGTCAAAGTCGACAGTTCGCGCCCGGTCTGGTAATCGAGGTCGATAGGACATGCTATTCTAAATCGAGACACTTGTCCCTTATAGGTTAGGTCCGACCAATTTTAATCCAACGCATCTCGTGCCAGACTGACTGGTACAGGTGAGTGAAGCTCTGCCGTGGTACTGTACCCAGTGCAAGCTCAATAATAAATAGTGGGTAGCACCAGGAACCCATGTGTAATGCTCGATTGATTGAACTTTATCGTTGTTCAAAATAGCCAGAACAAAAGGCTTCTAGCTGTAGGCTGCTTACTTAACGGTGGCATTGTCGGCATTGAAAGGGCCGAGTACCGAGGGCACGTAACGTGGAAGGTTTAGTAATGGTCGTACGTGTAGCATTACTGAAGTCCACGTTACTTGTTATTTCCAAAGGTCATAAACGCACAGGCTGAACAGTATTGGTACGGGTTAGTTTGCTTTTGCTTTACGACGTCTGCGAGTTTAAATGATACGTGACTTCGCCATTGTATCTTTTTTTTTCACCGACTAGCTCTGTCTTCAGTTTCTGATCTCAGAATTATTATTGGAATAGGAGACTAGTCTGGCAAGACGAAACGTCCCTTAATTTTTGTCTTACGGAGTTATAGGTGTAAGCACCTAGAATATCAGAATCACCCATGGCAAAAGCTGCGAGTAGAGCGTGACCAATGGAGGGCATAAAGCACTGAATTGCTGGCATTGATTGAATTGCAGCTCTGACCCTCGCCATGAATTTGCATCCTAACCTGCCTCAACTCTTTATATTATTCTCGTCCGACACAAATATATATATATATATATATCGGATCAAATACTTTACTATTGAATGTATACGATTGGCCACTGCAACGATTAGAATTCCGATCGCCAGCCCATCATAAGAATCGTTGGCCTCAAGTATACAAAGAATAAAAAAATAAGATCAAGTCTGAATGTACATGATTGGCTACGGCAACGATTAGAATTCCAATCACCGGCCGACCATAAGAATCGTTTGATTCAAGCATACAAAGAAAAAAAAAAGATAAAGTTATTTCCAATGTTTGAATAAATTTTTGAAAATCTCGAAAAATCCTCACGATACGAAAACAGTTTAATTATTAAATCATCGACTGAGTTTTCAGAGGCATTCCACCGAGATAAGGAAATAGCATGCTGTTTACATAACGTGAACAAAGCAAATCCCGAGGACAGTGACGATAGGAGGCTGGAGCGACGTGTTTTCAAACACCGAAGGTGTCGCGGAGCTGCCAGTCGCGCAGAATCTTAATTCCCAGGAGTCACAGGGATTATTTTGCCAGCAGTCACGATATAACAAAGTACCAAGAATCCCCGTGTACCGGGAACAATGATTTCACGACGTTAGTTTCATTCGAGAACGAAGATATACGAAACAATATACGGGAAAACTTGATGGTCAAGCAAACATTAAATCTCAACTGCGCAATGAATTTTTAATATTAGTCGGTATCTTCGGACTCGATTTTCTGAATTCGATACTCCGAGTCCTATACTCGTACAGGTCCTGCTAACTTATGTAGACAATAAATGACCGATCACGGAAGAGAGTTCTAACAGTATATACATATATATACGAAGCAAGCGCCAGAATTATTATCGATCTCTATTGGAGTACAAGTTAACGCAGTAGCCAGTTAGTTAAGACAAGCAGTTAAGTAGAAATGCACTTTTATCGGATAATCTTAACAACGCGGAATCGTACTCGGTGGCAGCAGGGGTCGGCGTTACTATAGCCATCGCCAAGAAAAGCCACTTTACGAGCGATCTGATCCAAAGTCTAACGGCATCTGTCGCATCAAAATCCTTAATCCCAGCCAGTGGCACGGAGGTACTTAATTGCCCAGAGGCGGCGGCGAATAATGTTTGCACCGCCGTACGCCGGCACGATGCTTCGCGATAGATACGATTCCTTAAGGCGCTATCGGTCGACGCTGCCGCCGCCGTCTAGAACAGTTTACCTCCACACGAGAGCAGATCCCGGAGATACGTGGTGCAGGAGTCCATAGCACGAGCGGATGGTAGCTGCGGTGCTTTGAAAATCGGTCCCTATCACTCAGCCACGCTGACACAATAAATATCTCTATACTTAAAGTTTACGACAGCCGGCGCAGTCGAGGACGTCCAGCAAGCAAAGTAGAAAATAGCCTCGGCCGCTACGTGAACTATGAGAGTCCGGAGTGCGACGTACCGAGGTAAATAAAAAGTCCATAACTTTTCCGAGCGCGAGGGAAGCGTTTGTACAGGAGGGTGTGGTAATTCCCCTTAAGGGATGATTGCTCGTTCGAATGAGAACTAGCCTTTATGTACTATATCCTATATTGCGCGTGTACACGTATACCATATGCAACGTACATTGTACCCGGGTTACAGCGCGCAGTGCATCGCGAAGCAGGAGGCCAAGACAGTGCAGCCTCGCATGTAAAAGGGAAACTGCGTAGCTGCACTACATCCTCATATTGCACCGGTAATTGGCTTGCATTGTTTGTTCACGGCTGGAGGAGTATGTTAACATCTTCTCCTGTAGGCCGGGGTGCTTTCACCTAAACTTACCAGGTATTTATCATTGTAAATGTCCCGCGAGGCTGCTGAAGCGATACGATACGATATCGTTGCGCCGTCCGGGGTCGACGCGTGCATTTCTCTATTATGCCAAGACCTGATAGACCTGGATAGTCCTGGTTACGCTGACTGGGTACCAGACGGTAGGGTAAAAAGGTGTTATAGAAATTTTTTCGTTATGCCACTCGCGGACTCCTAACTAATTATACTTGTCGTCGGGATGCATTATGCAACGAGAACGAAGCTCGGGAGGATCTTTGTCTGCCGGAGACCCCATCCTCCTACACCCTCTTCTTGTTTCTCTCATTCGATCTCCTCGTCTTCTTCTTACTCGTACTCGTCCTCTTATTCTCGCTCCTGAGAATGTATCGGCTCGCGTGCTTACAACTCCCCGGTGATATTTAGCCATTAGCGTCGCGATGCACACGAAAGTGGCTGCGTACGCTATTTATTGAATCGCATCGAAAAATTTCTTGGTGTTGCGTGCGAGGGGCAATGAAATGAGAGAATAAAAAAAAAAGAGGCTTCGGCAGTCAGTCCCTCTTCTTCTC